TATGTGAATCGTAAAGGATTCCACTCCTTCAACGTTCAGACACGAGACAGCATGTCTCTGATAATGTTGCCATGGAAACTAAGGAGGCTTCGTGAAATGGATTTTGAGTTGAGTTAAAGTAAAGATAAAGTAAAGATAAAGTAAAGATAAAGTAAAGTTAAAGTAAAGTTAAAGAAGCTTCGTGAAAAAGGCCCCTGTTCTCAGCTAAGCTGAGATCAGGTCTGAGATCAGCTGAGATCAAGCCCAAGGCTTTACTAGATGACTTTGCCTTGTGGAAGGATGAAGATTGGATTTGATTTATTTGTTTGTTTTTTAATTTTAATTTTTTTTTAAATGGCGACTTGACAGGTAAACTCGCATTGGGCAGCCCTGTTGAGATAGCCGATGACGTAAATGCAAATGGCGCGGTGCATACGAGGCGCGGCGCGGGAGGCTGGAGTTCATTCACATTCTTCCTTTGTGAAGGAGAACTATTGTCAAAGTTTGGGGGTCCGATTGGAACAGTGTGCTATTGATGCACCTATAACGGCATATTTAAAGGTGTCTGTAGCTACGGGGTCTTACGGCCAATGAAGTGAGACTGTGATTGACTTCTGAGTTTCATTAGACCTAGGCTAAGTCTTAGGCTTAGCTCTATCAGCGGTTATAACAGTGACCAGCCCTGGTCGTACGGCACTGTAGGCTTATCTTTTGGCTGTTACGGGGGTTTTCTTGTTTCCTTTCTTCTTACCTAAATGTGCATATGGGGGTCTTGGTTGCTGCTAACTGCATGCATTTCTGCAGGCTATAAAGTTTCTGTATAGTTCCCTCTGCACCCCTAAGAGTCTGAGAGCAGTGGCTAAACAGCAAGTGCAGCCAAGCCCCAACCCCCCCCCAATTCAAACTCGGTTGGATCACTGTTAGCAGTTCTGAGAAATACAGTACTCCCAACTATACTGTTGTCAGATTGAGCTAGAATCTCCCCATACATGTGCTCCCATTGACTATAAGTAATGACATCTGCCGCATGGGTGGTTTTGTGGATGAGCTGATGCAGTTATGGTTATTTTGTTGTGAAGTAGCTGCTTCTCAAAGCCTAAAGTAGAGATTCCTTTGGTCTCATTAAACAGAAATTTGATCTACTTGTGTATTCCAATGTTTCCCGTGTGAGCACTGTTATATGAACTATGTTAATGTACTCCATTGCATCAAGTGAAATGATTAAAGAGAGAACTATTTCATCCATGCATTAAATAGTTGGTAGGGGGGAGACATACTCTCATCCTGTCTGACACCTTTTAAGTTAAAGCAAGCAGGTGGCATATGCTATTAACCCTAACAGCATATGAAAAAAAAAGAAATGAATACTTTCAGACAGAGGAATCCAAAGAGCCAACTTTTTAAAATTTATAATGCTAGACAGTCTGAATAGACAACATTAAGCTGACAGAAAATGTTATAACTTGGTCAAGTGAGTTAGCCATCTTAAGCCTCTAACTTCCAGAACCCAGATGGTCATATGTTTTTACTCTTTTTTTTATCTCTTCATTCCCAAAAAAAGTCTCTTCAAAATACTTTGCCTAAGTACTATCACAGGATTTCATGAAAATGTACAGGGTGGGGTATCTGACCTTTCAGGTTCGTGGTGCAGCCAACCCAAATGGCTAAATTATTGTATCAAGGTCCATTAGACACAGAACAGTAGAATACAGGCTTTAAAGTAATCCTCAGGCACTCTCAGTAGCCCATGGTTAGCATAATGATTGCCTAATTTTTGTTATAATATCTTGTACAATTTCTCCTGTGGTTGACTTATTAAAAAATGGACTCAGTTATCCTGGTAGCTTGTAGCATGTTGCCTGCGGAATGAGTAAGTCTGATAAAACAGAGCTTGTGCTGGGCCCTTTTATTGTGGGCTAGACTATATTTCTCAACAATTGCTATTCATGATTAAATCAGGTATAGATGAACTTGACCATGGCCTATCACTAGTTCTAATGACAACACCTTTTGGATCCTTTTTGTGGTACAGGCTGGACTCAGATCCGTTGAAGCTCTGGAGATATGGCAGAACAACCAGAAGATCTGAATTTGCCTGCATCTGTAGTCAACAAGATAATTAAAGAATCTCTCCCTGATGGTGTAATAGTGAGCAAGGATGCTAAGATTGCTGTGGGTCGGGCTGCTTCTGTTTTTGTCCTTTATGCAGCCACAAGTGCAAACCAAGTTGTCACATCTCAGAAGAGGAAGACAATGACAGGTCAGGATGTCCTGAAAGCTATGGATACCATGGGATTCCCAGAATTCATCAATCCTCTAAAAGAATATTTTGAAGGTGGGTAACCATTTCATTTCACAGTGGTTTATTGTTATTTTTATTAGCACTATGCATTTAAGAGTTCATGTTTTGCACCCTTTTACAAGTTTATGTTTACAAGTATATTCATAGAATGTTACAATGGATGAATTATCCCAGGTCCTTCACACATTTGAGTTAATCAACATTTTTCTCAATTACTGAATCAGTCTTCAAGAAAGGAAAAGAGAGGAAGAAGGAGGATGCAGCAAGGAAGAAAAGAGCCAAGGAATTGGAGAAGGAGAGTCAGGAGACAGAGGAAAGAGCCTTCTCCCCTCCTTTGGAGGCATCTCCCAAGTCTTCACCAAAGAAGTCCTCTCCCATAAAGAAATCACCTAGGAAATCTGTTCAAAATTCACCAAAGAAACGGAGTCCCTCAAAGTCTCCTTCCAAGGCATCTGCAACAGCTTCTGCCATGGAAACTGACTGAGTTGTTGAGGTGTGAAGTGTTTAACACTCTGTCTAGACTTTTTATCATTCCCAGGTGTTTTACAACTCTTTGTGTGAATGCATTAGTTTGTATTCATTCTCAGGGTGTGAACTTCAGTTTTGAAGCATTAAAGCAACATGCGTGAATTTTTATGCTCTGAAACTGAGGCTGTCTATTTGAATGAAGGAAACTACCACTCAATCAATCGAAGGTTTGTCAAAATACATAATAAAACAATATGGTGATTCAAATTCATTTAGTCCAGAGCCTGTTTAAATGGATCATGTCAAGAATGTCTGATGAAATCCCTTCTCTATGCCAGTTTCCCAGGGGTGTCAAATCTGAAATTGCGGATCAATTAGATGGATTCTATAAGAATATTGTCTGCTGGGAAAGGTTTCTTTGTCCATGCTGACTAGAAGGATCAATGTCTCAAAAGTTCTCAGCAAATTTTTTTTCTCATCATCTGTTTTATGGGTTTAAACTGTTGCAACTAGTTGGGGGATTATAACCCTTCAGTGAAGCATTCTTTGTGCCACTCTGTTGAGTTCACAAGAGCTAGTTGTGACATGAAGGAAACAAAGAAACCTTTGATGACCTTCACACTTGTTTTGAAGAGATTATCCAGGGTTAGCTCAACAGGCACTACTGCCTAAAGCCTTGTTTACAAATTTAAGAGAACAAAGAGCCTAAATGGTGGACTGCAGAATGGGACTCAATGGAAGCTGGGACACTGTTTTCAGATTAAATTGGTACTCCCCTACAAAGGAGAATGGAGAAAACAAGCTTTCCAGACAATCCTCTAGATGTCAAGCCTGCTGCTCCGCATGGTTGTTTGATGGTTCTATTAATGCCTCACCTTCCATTCCATCCGCAAGGTGTCCTGCCTGTACTTGATGGAAGTGCTCCTAGGGGGGGGTTACCAATTCAATCTGAAAACAGTGTAAATGCAGTCCAAAGAATATGGTTCATGCTTCTTATGCAATTGGACTTCCCAAGCATTGTTTACTGCATTGTTGTGTATAAGGTTTTAGATGGCAGTATCCTTTGTGGTGCTGCTTCATTTTGCTCTTGAAAACTCAACATTGTGGCTCAAAGGATGCTCCACTACAGGGCTATAATCCATGCACTAGTTGCAATAGTTCAGATCTGTAAAACAGAATATGAGAACACAAAAGTAGTTAAGGATTTTTTGGACATTGTATTTTGAGACATAGTCATCATGTCTTAATGACTGAAAATTCTTTTAAATGTTGACGAGTGTTGAGCTTGAATGTAACAAAGTTGCACATCAGAGTGCCATGTCCTCATTCTTCCATGAAGAACTATTTCTGATTAGGAAATAAGTGTACTGGAATAGGGCTTGACTTCTTTCGATTCTGATTTTTTCTATGCTTTGCTTAAGCAAAGATGGAAGTCTGTTTCCATCCCAAAAAAGGACAGATGAAACTACATTTCACTGTGACTTGTTTCAGGTTGTACCCATGATTTTACTCTAATGTGGATCAAGACTGGGGAAGTCCCATGAAGCAATGATTTTTTTACTTTCTGTGTTCCCCTTCAAGAAGTGACCTCTTCATCATTACCCCTTCCTCTGACTTAGGATTGGAGAGGGGTTTCCATTCTTTTGTTCATGTACCTATTCCTTGCTACTTCACCCACATCATCATGCATTAAATAATGTTACTCATTAGTCTCCATGCCTCCTTGGGGGCATGCCCACAGTTTGATTTCATCATGTCTAAGTTTGAATGCCTCCCCATGGCTCAATCTTACATCTCTCCTCGTTATCCTCATCTTGAGTAAATGCAAAAAGTAATGAATTAGTCTCATATCACATAACTTGATCTCACCTCAGATAGTCTCATATCACCTGATCATGTTTTCTACCCTCAGTTCCCCATGGGGACACCCTGTTACATCTAATGGAAAAGGCCAATAATCCCTATTTAGGATTGCAGGTTTTCCCTCCCTTGTTATTTCTTCCTCTTGTAGGAGAAACAGGGGCTAATAGGGTGAGTGCTGCGAATGTCGGCACTCTAAGCAAATACTTCACTTCCACCTTGCTTGCTGGTTTTCATAGTGGAGCTTCCTAGTACATATTGGGTCTGGTGATACCTTTATTATAAACCTTCTTGTACTGCAAACCTCGAGTGCCCCAGGCCTTTCATTTCTGAGGGCCTGAGTCAAAGGTGAAGTTGGGTCAGATGTTGGCAATCTCAGCACACTTGCTGGTATAAACAGCACCACCCTGTTGGTAACCTCAGCACACTTATGGATCACTGTTGTTTACAACGGACTCAAAAATGAATGCAACGACCAGATGAAACAATACCTAGTGCGGAAGAGAACAGAATGTGCAAAAGCTTAGCAAAATCACAATATTTTGTAGGATTTTCAGTGTGTGCTTAGAGAAAGTGGCTACTATGAGAAAACTACAACAGCAAATGTAACTGTTCCAAGCACATATTAACAACATTAGTCCTACCATCTGAGAATACTTATCTCTATGGGGATTAGTTGTGAAAGCAGTATTTTGACAATTGCAAAGTGCCGAGATTACCCCCAGTGCTGACATTCGCAGCACTTACCCTATAGGTTTTGGGAAAATGAATCTTTTTGCTCAACAGAGAATCTCATGATTCCACCTGATTATGTCTGTGAATGTGTGATCCAGTGTAACTGCAAGCTCACTTCACCCATCACATGAAAAAACAATAAAGCCCAATAAGACTGCTTTCAAGGATAATAAAGTCTCCCTTGGAGAGTCCCATCCATTTACCCACAATTTCTTTATGAAATAAAAAATACCCACTGGTTGGGGGGGGCACTTCCTTGTATCTTATTTGAGGATGTTACCTTGCCTCCAGTGTATTCATGCAGATTCCAGTCTCTATGAGTATAGTGGATATTAACACAGTATCCTCATTTACTCACAGATAAAAATATTGAGTGAATGAATCTATCTACATATGATATGTATTTTCAAAGCCAATCCGTATGGCCTTGAGTCTTTATTTCCTAAATTTTTGGGAGGGTGATCTCACATGATTCGTGTTCTCTTTTACATCAAATAGCTTTAGCCTTCTATTTTCACTGGTTTCTTTTTGGGGCAAGTAGAAAGTAAGAAAGTAATACATGAAAAGAATACAAGAAGTAAGAAAACTGCATGAAATGTTACCAAACAATGGTCAAAGTGAGGAGGGTTGAGCCCCAGTGATTGATGTTAGAAGTTGAGGGGGGGGGAGGGAAGAACAGGAGGAGCTCCAATTCCAACAATGACTTCCACTCAGTGTAGCTTGACTTCATAAAAAATGTGAATCTATTGCAATATTTGTCTGTGGGCATTTTTCTGGCACTGGCTTCTGCAATCAGAATTACCCATAAATCTTGTGAAATACAGGGTGGTCATAAAGTCTGGAAACATAGGATATAAAGATAATTTTTGAAAATGGCAATTTACCTTGTTGGGTTCATGAACACTTCAAATGTCACCTTCAAATCTGTATTGATTCAAAGTGAGAACATTTTGAACATTTATTTTAGTTTATTTGCACATTATCTTAGTATATTCTTAATACTATCCTGTTTCCATACTTTATGGCCACCCTGTCTGTTGTCATCGTCTCCCAACCATATGTTGAAGTTAGACATTTCGACAGCTTCATTGTCGATTACCGACTATGTCGAATAAATGTAACGATGAATGTCTAAATGTCTGTCTAATGAGAAAAACGTCGAAATGAACTTTTATTTCCTCTGTTAATGAAGCCACCAAAACGAAATCATTCTGTCTTAAAAACACAAGCCCATGCTGAATGTGGGAAAAGTCGAACAGCATTTGGTCCACGGTCAAGAAAGTATTTCGGTGATTCTTTCCTCAGCTCATCTTAAAGTGGCGCTTTGGCTCCTGCATGGCAACTGCACTTCTTGCACCCCCAATGCACTTTCTCCTTCGTGCACTTCTCTGGAGTGAATGGAGTGTCTATTACCCTTCTGGGAATGCACGTATTGAAAGTGAGTCGTGGTTAAGGCACAAATTCGACTGACAGGTTTGTGTGGAAGTACACTTGTTACTGATGTAATCAACACCACCAACGCAGACTGATCCAGAGAGGTGATAGGTTGACAAGACAGCCTTAGCTGCCTTGAGGGCTAAGAAGTCTGCTCTCCTCTCCCTGATTATGTCAAGACCCAAGGAACAGAATGGACAGGAACGAATTTCGACATTTTGAAGAATCGACGTTTTGACACCTTTGGTATTGTAACAGTCAACTTTATGCCCATTCAACCATTTTCCCTTCAATGTCTTGTGGCGTTCGACGTTTTCGCTTGTCGACACAAAATGTGACGACATTCTGGCTTTCGACATTTTAATACGTAAAACGAGGTAGAATCGTTATCATTGCCCATTGAGCCTCAGCTGTAGTATCAAACACTGCCTTACCCATCACCTGCATTTAAGGAGGATTCAAGGATTCGTACCAGGAATGGAACCTATTCCATTTTAGCCCTGGAACTTTGACGAGTGGGTCGGGCAAAATCTCAGGAAGAATCTACCAAGCCCCATATGGTTGCCGAATGAAGGTGACAACCCCTTCAGAATTCATGATGGACACGTGAAAGTGTTTGGAGGCAATGCCTTGTCAAGGAGAGAAGTTTAGAACATGAAAGAACGTTTTGGTGGTGGTCGTGTCTTAGTGAGCATCCAGGAAGATCCAGAGTAGCAACAGATCCTAATCGGATTCGTCTTGTGGAGTCGCTAGCGATTCAAAACCATCGCACTACTGTGGTTGAGTTCACTAGCTTCTCCGTATATTCAATTCATCACATGATTCAAAGGTGTCTGCAGGGTGGATCCCACGTCTCTTGAGGCCTCTGCAGAAAGACCTGCGCGCCACCGCTTGTAGGGAGAACTTCCTCTGCTAGGAAAGGTGACCTCTTCCCGAAACCTATCGTCATTGGAGATGAGACCTGGATGCATTTTTACAACCCGGAAACAAAGGCACAGCCCGTGCAATGGAAACATCTCGGGTCTCCATCATCAAACATGTGTCGTCATGAAATATATGCTGGGAAAGCCATATACGTCATGTTTTTGGGACGTGGAGGATGTCATTCTGATGTATCTGATGCCTCGGTGTCACTGTTACAGAGTAAAGATATTCTGACACTTCGAGGAAGTAATTGCTGCCTG